CACAGGGCTTTAGGACAAGAGGGAAAACAAACAAAACTTTTGTGACAGTCTCATTTGCATAATATCTACTAAGTCTTCAAGTAAATTTTAAAATTAATTTTTCAAACAAAATAACTAAATTTACAAATATACACAATATTTTATATAGCAGTCTAATCCCCATCTGTGGTAGATAGGGTGGTAGTCATCACACTCTTTTTCCCAGCAAAATGAAGACAATGATTGTTACCATGATAATTGTTACAAAAGTAAAATTTTAGTCCAATGAGAAAATATGTCATTAAACTAGACAAAAAAGCAACATTGGTGTTAAACTGTACTTTCATTAATACCAGAATGAGATAACAAATGCTATTAGTTAGTTTTACTGCTTATTTTCTTTTGCCATTTTATTACTAGACCTCGTGATTTTGTTAAAATAGGAATAATAAGCATCTGTAGTATCCTGGGTCACAGACTGAAATGACCTCTTTCAAAGCATTTCAAGCCAATAAAACTGGAAATACAGGTCTAAAACAACACCCAGTGCTAACAGAATAAGCCTGATGTGTACTTGCTATTTTTTTACTTAATTACACTTGATTACAACAGATGAGAATGACTTGGTTTTTACTGATAGCAGTGGAGTAGTTGCACTGAATTTCTTAGTCCTTTTTCCTGCTGTAATGGCCTGGATATCTCCTGTTGTCTCAAAATGGAGAAAAGGATCAGCTTGCCCCTCAGTAGTAAGAGAGAGATCACTTTTCCTTTATACTTCCTAGACTGTTTGCAGCATTCAGTCATGTGCCACCTTATCCTGTGTTGTATCACTCTACTCCAAAGTAAAAATTTGATATGATAATTGTCTTTTTTACCATTTTTGATATTTAAGCTCTCCTTTTTCTTCTCTATCTCAACCTTTTGTTCTTTCTCCTTCCGAAGGCTGCCAGCTTAGTCCTTGGTTACTACATCTTCTTGCCTTCTCTAGAGATATAATAGAAATTCCTTAAGAAATGAGATGTGGAAATTTCCTTTGCTGCTATATCTCTCACTGCTTTTTAACTCCCTTTTAGAATACTGAGCTGTTCTTGTCCCCATCCCAACAATGCCTCTTATATTTACTTATAATTAAAAAAAAAAAATTCTTCCAAGTTCCCATAATGTAGCCTAACAACACATTTTGTAATGCTTTGATCTATTAAGAGTAATGTTTCCATTATTTGTGCACTCTAGCTATTTATTTATCAGTCCTGGCCATTTATAGGCAGCAGAACAGCTGACTTCAGCTAACTACTACAGCTGGGGTTTCATTCCTTTTCTAAATCAAACTGTCATCCTTGAGATAGGTGAGGCTCCCCTCTTTTTCAAAGGAAAAATCCATGAAACTTCTATTGAATGTGAAATGCAGCTTGGGAGACCAGAAACAAATTGCTGCTGTGACCATCACAATACTCATTTTCCTCCTCACTGTTTCATAAGCAACAAAAATTGCCCCTTAAGGTAGGACTCACGCAAATCAGGGACTCAAAACTAGTTAAACAAGGCAGTTAGAACAGATATGTACCTGTAAGTGTTGGAAGCAGCAAAACTTACTAAAGGTATGCCTTTACCTGGTAATCCTGCCTGCAGGAACAAAGGGGATGTTGGTCCTGTGTATCCTCTGCTGATCTTCTGTGGTATTCTATAACATTCTGCTTATTTCATAATAAGTTAATGTGCCTACTGTGTTGCAACTGTACCCCAGAGCTGCTTAATTCATTGTGCTGGCAAGTGTACTGTTTGCTGGGATGATAAATATCAGCAGACCTCCCAGGTCACCAGGGTTTGTGACATGACCTGTGATTGTAGTCGGGGCAGAGTCTGGGACTAGAATGAGTTTATGCCTGCCAGACTCTGTCTTGTGACCAAGGCACCTCAAGGCCATTTGAAAAAAGGCCTTCGTCCCTTTAGGTCCCTCCAGCTAGTCACTTGTTCATCCCTCTTTTTCCCTACCAGAAGCTATTCCCCATGATGATCCTATACCATCTCTTCCACTAACAGTGTGAGTACAGTTAATAGAGTGATTTCCCCTGGAAAAGAAAAAGGCCTTAGAAGGTTCATGTGCTTATGCTGGCTGTTTAACTTTGACAATTATTATATTTGGATTTGACTCTTCTAGGCTGAGTCATTCAGTTCACTCTTCCTCCTTTCCCAAAGGTTGGGTAGCCTGGGAAGTGAGTCCTATCACACTCATGCCCCACACCACCAGTAACAGAATTTTGCTCTGGACATCAGCATCTGAGATCTAGGGAACAGAAGATTTCACTGTAGGATGTTCTATGCAGAGTGCCTTTGTTCTGCCAGTGCAAGAGATCTTTTCATCCTCCCTGACCAGTCAAGACTAGTCAAGATTCAGGAAGTGAAGCAGAATGGATATTGAAAATTAACTTGTTAGTAAATAACACATCCTGTCCTCAGATAGAAAACAAACCAAACAAATCACAGAACCCACCAAAAAAATCCAAAGCTAGCATAAAAATGAGGCATAAATGGCTTTCTGATGGTCATTTTTTATAGAATTCCTCATCACTAACAAAATCATAGGAAAAAGGCCTTATTTTCTGTGTGCAGAGAGGAGATATACCTTGTGATACAAAGCACTTGGGATGTGAAGGAGGTCTTAATGGATGACTTGCTTTGATTAAGTCAGCCTGTGAACTTTGAGCACTTATTTCTTAGGCAATCTTCAAAGACTGCATTCTCTCCAGATGCCTCAGAGTCAGGCCTTTACACAAAATGTACTTGTCTTTGTACTGAAGAGTTGTTTGCACTACAGTAATTCTTGGTTTCTCAGCTTACTGAAACCCTCATTACTGTCTGTGATCAGTTGGTACTACCATTCATTTTCCATTTTTTTGGGTTCTGCATGATTTTTTCTGGCTTTCAGAGCTATGCTCATCTCTGCACACAAATAGGCTCTCAGTTCTTCTCTATCTGAAGGAAATAATTACTGTGCTTACAGCTCTGATGCCCCTCAGACATCATTAATGCCTAAGGAAATTTCAGAAGCATGGGCCAAGACAAACTATTCCCTATCACACAGTCACCCCGACACAGTAAGTTTTTTGACATTTTTGTTGCGAAGCCTCCGTACCGTGGTCTGTGTCCGGCACTGACACAGCTGTAGTGTCAAAGTGCAAATGCCTGACATTCTTCAGTGCACTTATCCTCTTGAGGAATACATTTCTGATACACTGACGTCCCTTGTCCCTGCTTGTAGATGGGAAGTGAGGTCTCCAGAGGGTGAGATTTAAAAAGTTTCATCCCCGTACAGATTTGTTTATCCCTCCTGCCTGTGGAGAGACGCTTAATAACTGCAGGAGCTAGAACATCTAAACATGAGTTAGAACCTGTTCTGAATTTCTTACTGAAAGCTGCAGAGGAAGGAGTTTATAATTCAGGAACTGGCCATAAGTGTTTTGTAGTCCAAAATATTACTGAAGGTGTTGGTTAATTTTCCACCTTATCATACTTGTTTCAAAAGGCAGCTGATATATTCTGTACTCAGAAGAAAGATTTCATTTCCCTTGCATTTACTGGCAAAAGACCAAGAAGGTACATCTGATTCCAAAAAGAGGTTAGAAAGACAATCAGTCCATCGTTTGAGAAATGACCAAAAAGAATAATTGTGATTTTGTTGGGTTGTTTCCTCTTATGATTGCTTGGGCTCCAGGCAGAGAATATGCACTTGGCAGTGAGAGACAGCTTCTCCCACTGCACTGTCATTATAAATCAATGACTAACTAGAGAGGCATAAATAAATACACAGACAAGATTGGTAAAGACAAGATGACCCTAAAGAAGCAGCTGAGGACTGTAGGTTAAAGTCCTCAGCACTTCTAGCACATCTTGAAAACTGATTACTGGACATTTATAATATTTGCATTCAAACTGAACCACACTGTAACCTGAAGCTAGGCAATAAATCAACTCTGGCTACAGCAATAATTTTCAAGATTAAACCATTTAGTCACTTTGTTCCCTCTAGAGGTAGATTTTAAAAGCAGAAGCAAGGCAGAGATTTCAGGGCTCCAGTATAAAGATTTGCACAGGAGCACCAACTTCATGGTGCAGTTTTGAACACTATTGAAAGGACTGGGGAAATTTGCAAGGTAGCAGTAGCATCAGTTTCATGACTGTACCACAGTAATATTTCCTGAGTAAAAAGAGATGGAAAACCTGATTTATTGCTGATAATAAGATCAAGATTGGGCAAACTGGGATTTTTTGGAGAGTTGTGAGAGATTCTAGGCATTATCTCTATAAAATGCTGTTCACAAAAAATACAGCAGCACAGCAACACTTCTCCTTTATGGGTGCCCATGCTAAATATGGCTTCTCAAGTGAACAGTAAAGTTCAGAGCACAAAATAAATCTTTAATTTAATAAATTCCATAAATAAATCTTTAAGTTTTCAGCTGGAAGCACAGAAAGTTGTATGAGAAAGAAAGCACATGACTGGCTGTTGAATGGGGACTGTTGCATTAGGGATTTTGTTGGATGGCACATACATAATGTGCCTTTAAAACTGGTTAAAATAATACAGAGAATGTTTAGCTTATTTTAAGACATGAATACAAACAGCTTTTGACAGGAAAATAAAAATTATAAACAAACAAACAAAACGAAAAACAAAACCATCCCCAACTCCAAAACACACTCCAGAGAAGTTAGTAGTTCTTTTCAGATAAAGCTCAGATGTCATACCTATGTCAACTACAGGGAAAAATATTAGGATGAACCTGTGAATTAAAGCTTCAAGAGGTTTGAGTGCCTAGTCTTGCAAGTCAGTGAAATTAATTTTCAGAAATCAACTAGTGGATTAATACAGTAATAGTCTTATAACTTGCTGATGAATGACCTTCAAAAGCTGTGTAAAATGAGTATATTAAGAAACTGGCTTGCAACCATTTGCTAGAGAGATTCTTTTTGAAACTGATTCTTCAAACAAATTTCAAGAGGTCCAGTTTTATGTGTTTTTTTTTTCTTTTTTTTTTTTTTCCCAGAGGAAGCATGGTGGGAATATCAGCCTTTCTGTCTTGCTAGTGAAAGAAAAACAAACAAACAGATCCCTTTTATTTGTATTCCTTGGCACTAAAAGACATGGTAAGAGAAAACCCTTATGCCTCTGCCATTCTTTTCACTGATGCCATCCTATTCTCAACCTGTCCATGCATTCCCCTCCTGTTTCTTATTCAGAATATGCATAGTCTGGCTAGCCTACAACTTAAATATCAATTGTCACTGTTCATTTGTTTTCTTGGTGCTCTTATCCATCCACATTTCTTCTCCTTTGCCCATCATAACATCTAGGTTTCCCTTTTTTATTTTTTTATGGTTCCCATATCCTGGAACTCTCCCACATTCATGCAGCATCTTCATTCCCTGGAATCTCTATATCAATCTTTTTCTTGGTATTCCTAGTTTCAATTTTACAGTAAGCCTGCTTCCCCACAAGAAAAACACAGCACTGCAAGAACCGAACCTTCTTTTCCCTTAGGGATAACAGGCAGTGAGCTTTTTTTGTCAGTCTCCCATACAAATCTAGATCTATGTTTCAGAACCTAGAAGTCAGTGCAAAAGAAGGCAATGAAAAATCATACATGTGAGATTTGAAATGCAGTTACAAATGTCCACATTCCGTGACTTATCTCCCCTTTTAGTGATGCTTCTGATGATATTTCAATGGAATTCAGATGCTACAAGAGCATGTACAGACAAATCTAATAATTTCCACAAGATTAATATGCTGTAAGGCAAATACTCCCTTACCTTAACATGAGCTAAACCAGGTTTTATCCTTGGGAATTTTCATAGCATCTGTCAATACTGTTGAGGGGAGACTGGTAAGCAACACCCTGTAACAATTATGTTAATAGCAGGGATTCAATCTGAAATGAAGAGATGAACAGTTGTTCTTGCTGCTGTCCTTTGGGATCATCATGTGCACTCTTTAAATCAAGTTGAACGTGTTCACTACATTTGCTATTAACAACAATAGCTGATCAACAATATTACTGCCCCTATATTGTTTCCTTATTTCAGAACTTCGTTTCCTCCATATATTATTGTTTCTGTTTGGTTGGATATTCAAATTTGGCATGTTTTCCTTTAACTACATCCATAGTAGAGGTTCAATGTAATGTAAATGGTGATTAAGTGAGCCAGGGAATGTCGTTTAGATGCAATACAAAGCCATGAAGGAGTATTGCAAAAGGATTACTTAACCCTTTCATTAGAAAGACATCTATCTTCCTTTAGATTAATTAATCTTAATTTAGTAGGTAATAGTAGTAATAATAGTAGGTATTATGCAGGTACTTATGATTTTCATGGATATTTGACCAACTGGTTTCCAGCCTGAAAAATGAGATCCAAATCCCACCAGTCATAAAGCCTTTATATTGATTTCAGTGGGTTTGGATGGAGCCACAAACCCACACAGCCAGGAAGGCAGTTACAAATGCAGGGGAAAGTACTACAATGACAAATACAGCTCAGACTGGCACTACACGCTGCAGCTGCTCAGATCTTCTCTGAGAAGTGTACAATCTGTGCAGTAAGAGTTTCGAAAAGCATAAAGAAATAATTCAGCAAGCTGTTGAACTCAACTCCAGGTCTTGTCATGGAAGGTAAAGATGGACTGGAAGCTTATGGCTGGCTAGGCAGTATGAATCATAAACTGGCTGTGCTCATTAACACTTACAAGAAGCCAATACAAGTTCTGTCATTTCCTTCTGAAAGCTTAAAAATCTGTGCTTTAAGATTCTCTCTCAGAAACCTGAGAAATAAGGCATAGAAGAATAAGAAGTACCTGTACCAGTCAAAGTGATTTGAACAAACATCACTTTAATAAGAGGATAAAGAAACACAATAAAACAATAAATTAGTCAGAGACAAAAAATTATTCTACAAAGTTATGTCAATATTACTGACCTTCTCACATGTCCATGGCAGCAGTCCAAACATAGAATAACATCCTTATCCAAGCTAAGAAGTATCTGAAATAGTCAGTCTCTGCAGTATGTGGAACTCCAGGGCATGCATTTCCGGGTAAAAGGCAGCTTTTGTTATTTGTGTTGCTGTTCTTCAACTCTACCACCACTCCTGCTGCCTTCCTACCCACATCTGTCATCATTGCCAGAGAAATTTTCCAGCTGCTGTTGGTCTTCAGCCTGTGAGCTCTTTTGGGCCTTCTGGGAGACTACTTCTGTGCTTCACTTGTGCAGGAAATATGACTTTACCCTTCAAAAATTGACAATATTGGCTAGGATTTTTACTTGTCTCAAGGTCTTCTACCTTCCTATTTCTGGCTGCAGCCACAATCAGAGCAACATTTGCCTGTAGGAATATTTGTCAAAGATTTCATTTCTGGAAGTTTCCAGACATGGCTTGCAGTCCTTCAATCACTTCAACTTTGTAATTTGGTTTTTTTTTTTTTTTTTTTTTCTTTAATAGAAGTATTCAAAGTTATTGCACATCTTGCATGTAAATGAGGTCTGGTTCAGCTGTTCATTTTCCCTCTTTCTCAACAGGTGCCAAGTGAGGACTCTTCTTTCAGACAAGTCCCTGTCCACACTGAGTGCTTTGGTAGCTATAAAGTATATATACTTCCATTTACTTTGAACTGAAGAACATCTCCAGTGAGGAGAACAGTGAACTGAAATTTCCTTTCAACATTGCATTTATTTTCTAGTAAATTTTAGATAAGTATTTCTGAAGTAATTTTCTGAGTAATAGAATACAGGGTAATAGTGTGATTTGGACCTTATTCTGCTAAACACATACACTATCTACTTTCAATTGCTTTGATTGCTTGATACCCAACACATAAATTCAGGAGTCTAAATTCTCTATAGCAGCCTGTGGAGGAATCTAGGCACTTTTGAATGGTTATTCTTAGCACATAAATTAGATAAATAAATTCAGAGTATGTGGCCACAAATTCTAAAATCTACAGATCGAAAAGAAAGGTCTCCATGACTGTGTGAGGGATGTATAGCTCAGAGAGCATGCGGTTCAAAGCACCACAAGTGTCTCCACCAGGTCAAAAATACTCTTTATTAGCTCTAGTTTAACAACAAGTTTGGACCTCATCTGCCTTTCACAGAGAAACTACCATGCAAGTCTGTGCTCTCCTTGGTGCTTTGGATGGACTTTTTGCCTTTAGCATAGCACAGCACAGTGCAAATGCAAAGCCTAGCACGTGCCTTGGTGCTGCATTCAAGACAGCACTTCCTCCTAGAAGCCAGAAACTGCTAAGACTTGGGTACAATAAATAGGAGTATAGACTGTGTCTTCCCAGGAAAAAAAGTAGTAGATAATGTTTTCTTTAGGGGCCAGCCCTGAAGAAATCAGCATTGCTCTCCCAGCCTCTGGCTTGTTGCTGGACTCAGCACTGTGTTAGAGCCCAGCCAAGTCCAGGTGTTCACATGGGTTTGCATTGAACCCAACAAGCTTCTGGGACTCAGAGATCTGTGGGGTGGCGGGTATTTGTACTGCCCAGCAGCCCTGGTCTTCACAGTGAGACCAGGAGGCACCTGACCTGGATGGGCTTGCTGGAAACCAGGTTGCATCTGCCAGAGTGTTTTTTTCTGTGTGTTTTGCTGCAGAACAGTGGCAACACTGGTCCCTGAGGTAAAGTGGTGTGAGAAACAGTAGAACTGTGTTTGTGCCAAACCTTAACAGTCTTTCCATAACTTGCATAAATAATCTGGAATCCAGATAACTGATATTTGACTGTTGTAAGAAATACAGATTCTAGAAGTTTTCAGGATATTAGACAAAAAACAAACCATGAGGCTAGACAGAGTATTAATTTTTAAAAATTGCTTTTGTAAAAACAAAAGCAAAAACCAGGAAAAAACCTCCTTAAAATACCATTATCAAAGGTAAAAAATTAAAAGGATTAATTCATGAATCTTCAAATAAAAGAGGATATGAAACAAAGTTCTGACAGACCTCTTTGTGTAAAAACATTTTCTTTCTAATTAAGCCTTTATAATCTTTTACAAACAAGTGGATTTTTTATGGAAGTGAAAAGTACCACAACCTAGATGCTGCCATGATTCCTCCAAGGAAAATGAAAATATTTTTATTCTTCACATCAGTTTAACGCAGAAGAAAAAACTAAAGTATGTTTTTGACCTCTGCTTGTATAATTAGTATATAGACATTAATCACAGTAGCTTCCTTAAGTTTTCTGAATGTCTTTTGGTGTTATACATGAGTAGACTGACATACTGACATTTGTAGGGTACATAAGTAAACAATTCAACTTGAGTGGCACACCCTGTCCCTTGGAAGGAGTCGCAGTACTATTTTCCCATGAAACTTGTGTGTATATAAAGGAAAGAACTGCATGCATTATTTCAAGGGTGGAGGTTAACAATAGGAATTTAAACAGATAGCTATAAACTTAGTAAAGTGAGGATTAGTACAGACTGTGGTGCACATTAATTCCAGACTGCAGATTTGTGGATTTTCATTTAATACTAGGTAAACAACCACGCTGGACCACTAATGATATGCTGCCTCCTTTCTGGGTCCCCAGCCCAAGACAGCCACAGTCTGCATTTCATAGATGCTGACAAGTCAGTGCAGCTGAAGCCAGCAGATGCCATGAGTGACTGGTGGCCATCAGACAAGTTCCAGGCATCTCCAGTGAAGAATACAGGTAATGAAAAGTTTAGAGGCTGCTTCTGTAAATGTGGGACATATACTTATGGAGTTTACAAAATACCATATCTGGGAGATGAGATGGCTAATTCATTTGTGTTTGTAGGGTGCTCTGATCTAAGGTAACAAGCACAAAAGAAAATAACTATTCTAAGTGTTGACATAAGGTATAGCTTACAGACAATAAGCAAGGTAAAGTCACACTATGACTCAGAGGAACCAAAGCATATATTATATGACAATGTGTCACCTATTCAGCGCTTTGCATTTGCAACACAGAAGTACCTTCTCTAGGGAACTAAGGATGAGGTCCAAGTGGCTTTCTCTGAGCATCTAAGTGACTTTTTCAGCTGAATAATAGCACTCGTGTTTTGCCAAACCACATTCTGTATCACTATAACACACTGGATGACATAAAGGCTAAACAGACTTAATTTTGCCATTTCTACTGTTTCTTAACTTTCACCATTCAGTGTAAGTAGCCAATATTACATAGACAACAGAGCTACACCCTTACATCTCTTATCTAAAATGCTGCACAGTTTACACTAACTGCCTAATTAGTGTACCTTTACATCATATAGCCATTTCAATTAATTTTTAATTATATTACTATATAATCAATAAACAGCATGTAATATATATAATATGAAATATTAACATATTGAACATTTAATGTTATTTTAGTTTTTGTAGAAACATATTGATATAATTTATAGGTCTAACTCAATACAAAACATTCTTTTGTACGTTGCTGTTTCCTCAAAAACCACTTTCCCACTGGAATACACACTTCACAGAACTGGAGACATGTATGTTCCATTAACTTTACTCTTCTGCTTATACCAATGATTATTTGAGGGTGTTAAAGGGATCTTAATTTAAAGGCAGAAAAAGCATCCAGAGAACTATTAGAGATAATAGCTAAAAGGACTTGTGACCAGAGGACTTGTCCTCTGAGATTCAAAACTTGCACAGAATTGGAGGCAACAAGCTAGAGAAAAGTAATAGTGTTACAGAGACCAAAGAATACATAGTCCAAGCCTATCAGACTATCCCTAGTCTATTCAAATGTAGAGTTGATGTACTAAAATCAGTTCATCGGGTCTACATGGCTGTACTGCTTCAGTGGGTGTATATTGCACTCAGGTGGGGAACAAAGTAGGTTTTTATTTTGAGCAACTAGATCCTAAAATGGAGGGTTATTTACCACTGACAGGTTCTTTGGAAAATGTTCCCCATACAGACATTCATAGCGTGAGCAAGCTTATTTACAGCTATTTGACCTAGAATAATGTTAGCCTTCCCAGGACTCAGAGATTGCCTGTCCAGGCCTTTCTTTGCTCTCTCTAACCTCCTTTTTGAACACAATCCTCTTTGAATCACCTTCTCATGCAAGAGTCAACTGACAAGGCTTTGAAAAGAGTCTATTCAAATTAATAGTTCTTAACATATCTTATATATATATGTCAATTTCATCCTATGAACAAGTACTGCCCATTGATACCTAAACCTCAGATATTGCCCAAATTTTGCAATCCTTATTATGAAGCCAAATTCTGGTCATGTAATGTCCAGATGAGCTTGTATATGAATATTTAGTAACAATGCACCTATAACCACACAAAATATTAGTCCCTGGTGAAACCAGAAGAGGCACTTTTAAGATAGCTAATTTTTTTTAAGTACTTCAGTTTCAAAGACTATATTTAAAACTTTTTCCCAATTTTCCAAGGCTCAGAAGAAAAGTTAGTCTATGTATGCCGTTTATACTGCTTTTATAATTATTAAAGTAACATTATTGATTATATTGTATGACAAAAAATATTCATTGTTTTTTTATTTTTCCCTAGCATTTGTTACAGAAAGGACTTGTATTTCTTTTCCAGAAATCATTTTGAGACAACTTCAGAGTCAACATACTGGCGTATAAGTGGCACTAAACTGAGCCCTTGAGATGACTGGGATTTTTGACATATGAGCACATTCTTTCTTGCAAGAGTTTGCTTGAGTGGTAGTTGTATTGATGTAATAAAAGAAATGCAAGACCAACCAAGGCATGAGTATTTATTCACAATTGCTCTCTATTCAATTGCAGCCATAATTCTCAAGGCACTGGAACAATTGCAGCACCAATTAAAAGAGGAATCCAAAAGGGTTCTTGCAGCTTATAGAGATGATTGCCATATTCTGTTATTTAAACTCGCATTTATCAATCCTTTGAGTGTTACACCTACTACATGGCAAAACACTCAAATTCTGACAAATTAATATTTTTACACAGTGTTTGAAAAAGGACCTTTTCAGGCTGATAGTAGGACAAAAGATTTTATGTACTGCTAATCAAGGGTATCACTAGGATTTTATGAATAAATTAGAATGCACATTTTGTCATCTCGCTTTCTATCATTTTGAGAATATTGCAGAAAAGTCTTCTTGTCTAGGAGCTCAAATGACCACAAGCAATAAAACAAGCCATAGCAAAGCAGATTAGGGCTCCTATCACTCTCTTGTCTGCATAACCTACACTGTGCATAGCGTGGCTTTGGGCAGTAAATATTTGGCGTAAGAAATGCTACAGACATCAGCAAAGTATTTTTTTTCACACTTAAGTATTTATAAGCCAAGATGATCTGCATACAATGTTTAAAGACAGAATTTTTTGTAAGGTGTGACATGGTGACTCTTTTGGAGATGTGTGTGTTTTCATTCTCTTGCCTTGTGTGCCGTGCTCAGTTGTGTGCAATGCATGTAAGGGCCTGACTCTGCACAGGAGCAGCAGGGGAGCTGAGCTGCCCAACGGACAATTACTGCTGCCAGAGAGAGTAAGCAAAAGGTATTGCTTTCTTCCTGGTTGGAAATTTCTCAGTAGAGAAAATTTAAAAGTCAAACTATGGGTAGCACCATGATAGTACTCACTAGAAACAAATGCTAGCAATAAGTCAAAATACAGCCTAGGGCTTAGGTTCCTGCCTAAGCAGGAATGCCTAAGGCATTCATACCAGCAGACTCCCCCAGTTTGTAGGCTCTCTTCTGGCTGTCAGTGAAGAAATGAAGATGCCATGTTTGGGTGAAAGAGTTCTGCCTCCAAGGAGGCAGAGGCTTCGTGAAGCATTAAGCAGAACAATCCATCACTGCTATAAAACCCTAGCATAGATTATGTTTTTTGAGTACTTAAGGTATTGTCTGGACATGTTTTAGAGCTGTCTTATACTCTTACACAACACAAAGGTCTTCAGATTGTATACTTGATATTTCAAAAAAATTTTAAAATTAATGCTTCTGTTTCTATAATGGGCATATTCATATTTTTATGTGTTAGAATAAGTTCAAGGAAACTTTGGATGTTATTTTAAGTGGCATGATTTTCTTTTACTGTATATATTGCTTGAAATAGTCATGTTATTTTGTGCTATGGATTGGATACAGAGAAGAGACATTTTTGATCCTGTTATATATTTTTTTTTGTGTGTGTGAGCCTTCTCAGCTCTGCAGCCACACTGGAGTCAATTACTCCAATTGTCTGAGTTTAAAAGATTAAATTTTGCATATTCATAGTCTTAGAAAGAAGTGGAGGTCATCAGGAGGATGATAAATGTTGCTTATTATGAGAACAGGTAACATTTAACTTAATGACAGCACAAATACAAATGAACTAAGCCAGAGTTCTGAGTGAAAGCTTCAGTTGCAGCTGGAGACACTTTTGAGTTAGATAAAGTAAGCAAGAAAATCCATGTTTTGAAGATTAGTCATGGTATAGTATAACATTATTTCCTGAATATTCAGGCAAAATTTAAAATATTATTTCCTCTAAAATTAGAAAATTGTAAAATATTTAATTTAGGTTGACTGATACATGTTATTTTTATGTAAAGCTTACTAAAAAGGCACTTTGTCTAGCCTAAAAATGAACCTAAAAAATGAAACTTGCAATTAAACCCCTTTAATTGATGCTTTCTTTGTGATATCCTTCCACAGTTGCATTGCTTTCCTTATCATTGCCAGTAGTTAGAAATGTTCTTGTCCAGAAATGACATGGGCATCTATTGTTCTCTTCAGTCTGTTCCATTCTTTTCTCTGATTCTCCTATTACATTGTTTCTGGATTACGTCTTAGCTCCTGATTCATTGCAAATAGAGTCCGAGACTTTGAGATTCTTGGGGTCCATGTCATCAGGGTCTTTTCTCAGTCATTTTATTCTTAGCAATGCAATAAATGTCTAGTTTATATTAGCAGAAGATAGAACTCCATTGGCACCAATAGCTACATAGTGATGAAAAAATCAACAGCATTAATTTATTCTGGCATTGCATAGAGAGAGAGGGAGAGAGAGAGAGAGAGAGAAAGAAGAAAATGGCATCAGATGCGTAAATACCACAGATAAGATTTAGGCAGAAAAATGGCTTAATAATCAGTCACTATTTTTTCCACCCAGAAAGCTGATATATTCTGTTTCTCTACTATCTCTACTATCTTCCTATTCCAAAATGGAAGCAAATGTTAAATTTTAGTTTAGACTGAAAAGTTCATTCTTTGCTAAATTTTTTGCTCCCATTTGTCTCGTCCCATTTCATTGCATACATTCATTTTAGAATTATATATAGATTTTAATATTTAACAAGGAAAATAGGATTAAACAGCTTAACAAAGCACTTAAGAGAAGTCTAAACATTGTGGGCTTTTATTTTGACGGGTACTCCTATTTCAGAACGAATGACTTCTAAGAGCAAAATTAGCAGAGGATTGATTAAAAAAATATTTAATATGGCAAATAGGAAACTCCTGATTTTTAACGTAGTTGCTTATGTGACTTTGCATCAATCATTGCTCACTGTGGACCCCTTCCTCTGCTTATTACACAAGATTTGTAGGGCAGGGACTGCTTTCTACCCCATGGTTTTATGTCTGCAATGCTTCTGTTTGTATCAATGTCACATTGGATGCAGGTGGTCACTAATGATTGACCTTACAGTTTGGGGTGTCTGAGTTTTCTGAGCCCAAGCACCCCAAAGCAGTCAGAACCAAGGATTTACTGGATATCAGTTTTTCTGACTTGCTAAGATAACTGAAGAAGCCCATACTAGGACATGCAAGGCATTAGCTATTTTAGTTATGAAATAAAATAATGTCACCACTTAGTGAAAAATGCCATAAACTTACTGAACTAATAGTCTTGTAGTCTGTTGTCTTGTAGTTAAAATAAACTGGGATTTACAATTTTGATGCAAATTATTTTGCTCTGGAAAAGTTAATTTATTATTTATGTTATGAGGCAATAACCAAGCTATCATAAGTGTTTAAGTTCTTATTCTAGCCACTAAATACCTGATTATTGATTCACAAAGTAACCTGAATATCATAATCTTATACAACTACCTTTTTCAAGTAGTTAGTAAGCTCTGGGAAAATATTCAGTATCCCTTCCAAACCTCAGCTAAAGAAAGCTATGTGGTAATTTAAGGATTCATAGCTGAAGCGTTCTGATTCTGGCATACTCAATGCATATTCCTTTTGCTAAGATTAGTGACAAAATTTTCAGGCCATGTGCCTAGAGCCTTGGGAAATGCAGGGTTTTCAGGAATTCCATTAGGAGATGTACAGATGCAGTGCTGGATCTGCAGAAGCTGCAGATTTGTTTTTACCAGTTTAGCCTCACTGTAGAAAAGAGTATAAATAAGATCAACATACACCACTGAGGTCAGAAATAACTGGAATAGAGCTTGTGGAGTTTTCAAAGGATTTTGTGATTACAAAACCATGACAGTGTTCCTCCATAATTTTTAGTATACTTGTGTAATGTGCAAAATCTCCCAAGGAGTTCACTTTTGTTTTTAAGACAAATGTCTTACAAAAATAATTGATAATTTATTGGGAGAAACTATAACTAGAGCTACAATTAAAGCCCTGGTAGAATGTAGATCTTCAGGAATGAGGAATCCCAAACGTTTCAGACTTTTTGACTCTTGTAAAAATAAACTATACTGTGGTAAAATGATTTAAACTACATGCCACCAAAACCAGTTTCAATTTCTGCAGAGTGTCAGTTGTTTGTAACTATAGATAAATAATTTTAATGTTTTAACAGTAAATAAATCAAATATAGGTTTGAAGTATTAATTAAAATGAGATTATTTCAATAAAAAAATTTTATTAGAAAAAGAAAGAAATGAAAGAAATGAAAGAAATGAAAGAAATGAAAGAAATTAAAGAAAAAAATGAAATAAATTTTGAAATTGCTACAAATCAAATATATCATTTTAACATGCCTAAACCAAGCTTTTTTTTTTTTTTTTAAATGAATTGATGTATGCTTATAAGCTGATTCTCATTTCTTGAAAAGAAGAAAACTGCCCAAGGATATTTTATAAAAAGGGCTTAGTACGGAGGAGAGAAAACAAAATTATTGTATTTGTGAATACAGATTTTGAAGCATTTGGTGTTGATTCAAAATTACATGATTGTGCTTTCTTTTATTTTCTAAGAAATCAGAAAATCTTTCCTAATTCTACCCAAGTAAAGGCTCCATTCTCCCATTCTATATCTCAAAATTTTTTCTCTTACATGGAAAGAAACACTAGCAGATTATATAAGTCAAAATCTAAGTATCAAAGAAATCCATTGTCAAGATGGGAAAATTTAGGTCTGAAAAGACTTTAAAAACACTCTTTAAATATTAAATTGAACAGACACATTGCAAGACCTTTGTGAAGCCCAGACAATCTGGCTTTCAGTGTGCAGGGAAACTACATTTTCTGTATACTTCAGGTGAACTCTAAATACTCTACCAATGTTTAAAAATGTCTGGATATGCAGCAGAGAAATCAGGGATTTTGCACAGAGCCAAGCAAATCATAGCATTCCCAAACATATCTCATGTTTCAACAGCAACCATTCCTGGAAAAACTGGATTTACTTTATGGCAAGTGTGTCACATCCATGAAGCCCCACCATGACCTTAGCACAGGCCATGAGATCCCCAGTGGGTTCTTGGAACTAACACTGACAGGATCTCCAGAAACTGATTTAGAGAAAAGAGTTTTAAGGTTATATGA